ATTTTGGTGCCAAAGACTTACAAACTTACTTTTGCATAAATCTATGCCTTTAATAATTTATTTTAAAATTTTTTTACTTGTATTATTAAATTTTTAAAATTTTTATTTTTATATTTTCCAATATTTACTGTTAAAACCCGTAATACTATACAAGCCCGTTATGCCCGAGCTAAATGCCCCAATACCATTCAACCCCTCCCTCCCCCATAATCCACATCAGCGCAGGCTGCTAGTACCCCTCGCGAGCTCGTCATACCATCCATTGAATCGTTGCACAAAAATCTTGGTCTACCCGCGCATCACAGCTTAATACTAATGATACTGCCGGCCGGCGCCCATGATGTGACCAGGGATGCTGGGGTAAGCTGTGCGGACAGTATGCACCGGCATGACTGTCCACTATTATTAACATATTACTTATATATTTATTTTTAAAATGTTTATTTTTTCAATATATGTTACATTTTCATTTGATTTATTAAAATAAATAAAATTTTAAACATTGTTTTACATGATGAAAAATATATATTTTAATTAAGTAACAATTTTAATTTAACATGATAAATTTATTAACTATAAAATTAGTGTGAATGACATTTATAAGTTATAATTATTTACATTGAACTCAATCACACGCCCGTCGATCGTTAGTACGACCGGCAGTCATATCATATAAAACCGTTTGCGTTTAAACGGTATGGAACATCCTAGTTCACCTAGGTGATTCGCGTTTATTTAGGCATAATTTTTAGCGAATAACCTTGTTCACATATCATGTATTGATATAAGCTATACAAATTTAGTTGAATGTAATAAATTATCAGTAAAATTATTTTAAAATAAACATTAAGTGATAACTATTTAATTTACAAACATATTTACAATAAATTTTAATAAAAACAACAGGAAAAATAAACTTGATAAGTTCACGGCACAACACGCCTCCCCGCCCCTACACAACAACCACCCTGATCATTTACGGCACAGTATCTTACGAAACGTCTGGCGAAACGTGGGTACAAAGTATGCGTAAATAAAAGGGTTCATGGTGGAATTGCACAAACCAAACCAGATCAAGGTCTGTTGCAAATGAAAAGGCATTTCTGGGGCGCCGATATACACGGAAAATGTCAGAAAAAAGGGTGACCAACACACCAGGAATACCGACGTGATTATGAGCAGTGTTTTGGCCACCCGGCGCTCTCTATCCTCTTTGAACTTTGTGCGCCGTCTCAGTAGCGATAGGTTACGTACGGTACATATCTGGCCCACACAAGTGACACTCGCCCGGTGCGCGTGTTTGTGGTTGTGGACCGGGTTTGAGCCCACGTAACCGCCGCAGGTGGGCGTATAGCTGCTGTCCTCCATGGCTACCAGTGGTGGGCCGGTGACGACTGCCGGTGCCGTCAACCCCGGCGTTATGCCAGATGTCATGTCCCGGTCTATACCGTTGCCGTTCGCAGCATCAATACCGGCGCCGGCGCCGCCGCCAGTGGCCGTCAGTTTCATGTCGTGCGACCGCTTATGGCGAGTGCTTTTCCGTGCGATCTATGGATAGTTAGGGTAAGGGTTGTGTTTTGGTATGAAAATTATGGTTAGTTTTATTATTTTATTTTGTAATTGTATTGTTATAATTATTTTTAAAATTATTTACATTTAATGTATTCAAAATTATTTTATCAATCTTTATATTATTGTTGCATTGTTTTACTTTAGATTAGATTTGTGTTATTTTACCCTGTATCTTTATTTGTAAATTTGTTTGTCTTAAGTATTAATTTGAATAAAATGTTCATGATCAAATTAAATAAAAGTGTATTTTATATAATAATAATAATGTATGTTTTATACTTAAAGCTCATGATCTACATTTGTCATATAATATGTTGCAATTGGTTAAGGTATAAGTCATTAAAGTAGATTAGAATTGGTTAATACTATTAATAATTTAAATGTGATTATTAACATAAAATAATGGATCCAGTGGGAAATTATTATAATGATACTGTACAAGGAAATGCCAGCATAATTAGAAATTTATAAAAACTACACAACTTATTTTTTGCTTTATTTTATGAGGTATGTATACTAATTAAATTTACATAAATAAAAATAAAATATACATGGTATAATTAAATTTCCAGCTTAACTAGGGATGGCCTGTTTGTCATAAAATCATTATAATTTTAAAAGTAAAAGACATCATGATTAAAATCTCAACTAAAATATATAATATTAAAATACATAATCTTAACTAATACCAATCAAATAATATAAATAATCTGTTTTATTAGTAATGTTTGTATTAAGAATATAATTGAAAATAATTCTGAGAAAAATGGGCATGTTTTATTAAATAAACATCTAATACATTTATTTCTCAATACATAATCTCCAGTGTTTAAGTGTATTAAATGTTTGAGTAGTTTGTATTGATTGATATATAAATATTTGTGTTAAAAAGCGTTTCAATAATTGCCGTATTATATATTTTAGTTAAAACATACAGAATATATATAGTATAGTAAATTAGATATACAGTATATTTTATTTTATTATTACAGAATTTATGTTTAATTTATTAATTCCGTGTATTTTCTATTTGCCTACAAATTGAGTGATTATTTCTGGTAAAATGCAATTTATTTTATTATTAGTAGTACTAATGCTATTAAATACGGTATTTTAGCACTTAAATGCCATTTACTGTAATAATAATACATTATTTTTAATAACAATAATAAATAATATTATATTAGATTTGAATTTTGTGAAAAATTCTTGTAATAGTAATGGTCTCTCTCTCTCTCTCTCTCTCTCTAATCAAAAACATTTAAATAATCCCGAATTCAAATATAAATCAAATGCTATTAAATACATAATCTGTGAATAAATCATTGACTCTCTCTCTCTCTCTCTCTCTCTCTCTCTCTCTAATCAAAAACATTTAAATAATCCCGAATTCAAATATAAATCAAATGCTATTAAATACATAATCTGTGAATAAATCATTGTAAACATGTTTTTAATGTCAAAGGTTTGTATAGCAAAACATGCAATTTTCTAATGTATTAATAATTATTATTATGAGGATTAATATCTAATTAAATCTACATGTTTTATTTATTCTGTATTTCTTATTTACATTATTTATTAATCATGATACTCAATCGTGGTAAACAACATTAAAAGTTTGTACTGGCAAAAATATAATTATGTACTTATTACACCATATTACACCAGGGGCATCTCAATAAATTACTATTGTGCATTACATATTTGCCCATTACTATTAATTATAAATATTAATTTATTATATTTACAATTTGTAATACATTTATGTATGTTTCCACACCAAGTAATTATTGACCAAGTAACTTATAAACCAAGTAAGCTATTTAATCACGACCACAATAAAGATGTTTAATCAGGCATAATAATTTAACCAAAACATTGTTAACTATTTCAAGAGTTTGATTTAATACGGTAAAAAATTTGAAAAATGCGAACTTACACAATACAAATAACATAAAAAGCACGAGCAAAAAAATGCCAACATCAAAATACATACCCGGTATATAAGCACATAAAACACAATAATAATGGGCACCGGTATGTAAAACGTGATGAGCGCGCCGACCACCCTATAGACCACATCCCGATTGCCAATACAGTGATACTCGCGATTGCGGGCCCACCAGTCCTGGTCGTGCCAACCGAGAAACGGCATCACAACATACACCGTGGGTATAGCCCAGGCCAGGGCTATCATCAAAACAATCCTACACCGGGTCCGCTGACCCCCACCCCCTCCCAACACACCACTCCTGGCCCTAACTGTGGACACAATAATATAACGGTCAATTGCAATGACAGCTAGATTAAACACTGGAGATTATGTATTGAGAAATAAATGTATTAGATGTTTATTTAAACTCTCTCTCTCTCTCTCTCTCTCTAATCAAAAACATTTAAATAATCCCGAATTCAAATATAAATCAAATGCTATTAAATACATAATCTGTGAATAAATAATTGTAAACATGTTTTTAATGTCAAAGATTTGTATAGCAAAGCATGCAATTTTCTAATGTATTAATAATTATTATTACGAGGATTAATATCTAATTAAATTTACATGTTTTATTTATTCTGTATGTATTATCTGCATTATTTATTGATCGTAATACCCAATCGTGGTAAACAACATTAAAAGTTTGCTCTATTAAAAATATAATTATTTACTTATTACACCAGGGGCATCTCAATAAATTACTATTGTGCATTACATACACATTACATAAATTGTATTTGCTCATTATTATTAATTATAAATGTTAATGCATTATACTTTGCAATTTGTAATTTATCATGTTTGAATACCAAGTAACTTATTAACCAATTAAGTTATTTACCCACGATCACAATAAAGATGTTCAATCAGACATAATAATTCAACTAAAACATTGTTAACTATTTCAAGAATTTGATTTACAACGGTACAAAAAATTAAAAAAATGCAAACTTACACAATACAAATAACAGAAAAAGCATGAGCAAAAAAATGTCAACATCAAAATACATACCCGGTATATAAGCACATAAAACACAATAATAATGGGCACCGGTATGTAAAACGTGATGAGCGCGCCCACCATCCTATAGACCACATCCCGATTACCAATGCAGTGATACTCGCGATTGCGGGCCCACCAGTCCTGGTCGTGCCAACCGAGAAACGGCATCACAACATACACCGTGGGTATAGCCCAGGCCAGGGCTATCATTAAAACAATCCTACACCGGGTCCGCTGACCCCCACCCCCTCCCAACACACCACTCCTGGCCCTAACTGTGGACACAATAATATAACGGTCAATTGCAATGACAGCTAGATTAAACACCGATGCCTGGGATGATAGTATGTTGAGCTCGAGGGGCACATCGCACCGGAAGTCAAAGGGCCAGTGGCCAAACACGGCCACTGAGGCCCTGAGGGGCATAACCAATAGGCCCACAATCAGGTCGGCGGTGGCCAACGAAAATATCAGGCAATTACTCGGTGTACGTAGGCTTTTCTCCACGAGCACAGCTACTATGACTAGCAGGTTGCCCAGTATTGTGGTCAGTATGATTAGGGTGAGTATGGGTGTGATGATGATGTTTTTGGCGGTGAATAGTTGGTCGATGTGGTGGTCGTGGTTGTGGTGCAGGTGCGGCGGAGGTTGGTAATGATTAGGGTTGTCTAGGGTGAGGTTGCCCTGGCCCGGGTAGAGCGGTGTGCCCAGTGTTTGGTGCAGTTGGTCTGTGATGCCGGTTAGGCTGGTGTAGTTGTCCATGGTTTGTTTTTGCCGTGTTGTTTTACATTGTTTAATAAGTTTACATTCATCGGTTGTAAGCGTTTGTGCTGTTTTAATAGTGAATAATTATCTGATTATATAGTTATATCGTGATCATTTTTATCACTTTAATTATAATCATGATTATAGTTGTTATTATACATGTTATATTTTATTATATTTATAGTGATATGATTGCAAATTAATACACAACTTTAATTGTCATTATTATTTTTATCACATATTAAAATAATTAAAATAATTGTTATAATAATTTCAAACAGTTATTTGCCGGCACATAAACATCTGCAATAAAATAACATTCATCGTTTATAATAATAAAAAGTAATTATCACATTTAATCATCGTGAGTAAAAATCTATAACAATTAACATAGATTAACAATATGAGAATATTTTAGTTAAAAAATATTTTATATTTGTATCAGAAAATAATCAAATTATAAAATGGTTGGGAGTGTTATATAACATATCAAACACACTCTCATTACTAGACACTATCGCACAGTCCTATTGATCTCTCCTCTCCATCACTACCTACCGGAGCAGTGATAAGTAGTTTATATGTGTTAACTGCACACAGATGTTGGACAGAGAGATAAGAATCTGATTTATTCTGAGAGAGAGAGAGAGAGAGAGAGAGAGAGAGAGAGCAATTGCACGACAAATGAATGCAATAAAAGGGTGCTATAAATATAAACTTGGTAGACAGTGACAGAGACAGTCGCATACATACCGGGGCTCATAAATTGCCAGAATATTTACATATATATTATATTTATGTCATATATTATTATATAGCTATATATACATGTCATGTGCACTCACAGAATATTCTGGTTTGCCGATGATAATAATTATTATAAGTTAAATAAACAATACAAATATACTATACTTTATAACATACAGTATAATAAGAATAAAATTTTATTTACATTAATTAAAAATCAAAAATATTTTTAATCCGATATCTGTTTATTTAATACCAACACTACTCTCAAGAACAGGTATAATACTATTCAATGCATAATAGGCTTATAACAAAATGATTAAACACGGCGTTTGTTATTACGTAAGTGTACGGCACTGGCAAGTGCTAAGTGCCGTCGCAACATATACTGTACAACATAGAGCTTATCACTTCTAAACATATACAACTACTGTAAGCCTGTCCAATGTGTTTTTAGTATATCACAAATACAGATTCACAGTATGGCATAAAAAGGTGGCGCAACGGTCAGTAAAAAAGTTTAGGTTTGTCAGTATT